CCACCAAAAAAACACTACTCTTATGAGGAAGGCTCGGCACATCATGCGGAGCCAGGCGTGGGCAGGCAAATCCAGCTGCATTTGTGGCTGTTGTGGCTCTGGGCGTAGGACCCAGTAGCACGTGTTCTGAGCAAACTTCTCAATCATGTGTGTCTACGTACTGCATTGGTGAAACATTCTTCGGACCATGGCCTTGCAAGTAATTGGACCTACTTCCAGGCTAGCTAGATGCCAAGTCTCTGGGTTAAGCCAACTTCAGCAAGCCATCCACTTTGCACACCGTCGCAAAGGTGAGCTGAAGCAGGATACATCTTTAAAGTTCTAAAGATCCATGACTAAACAGAGCGAATCTTGAGGACACACCTTCACTTCTCAAACAACTCACACAAATCACACAAAATTCCCCAAATCAGGGTTTGGGGTCTTTCCAATTTCTTTTTCCTTTTTTGCACCCGCTGAGCGGGTGTCGGGACTGCAAACGCTGTGCCCACCGAGCCACTCATTACAGGCATGCTTTGGGTTTAGGGTTTAGGGTTTAGGGGGCTGCTGGGGCTATGGGATTGTTCTTTATTGTTTTAGGCCGTAGCATGAGGGGCTTTGGGTTGCAGGATTGGGGCTTAGAGGCGTTAGGGTTAAGGGTTTTGGTGTTAGGGCTTGGGGGTGTAGGGTTTTTGATTTGGGGCGCAGGGTCTAGGATGTAGGGTTGAGGTTTAAGGATTTGGAGTTTAGGTTTTAGGATTTGGAGAGGCAGCGTAGGGTTTAGGATGTGGGGTTTAGGGTTCAGCCTTTGGGGTTTAGGGTTTAGGCTTTAGGGTTCAGGGGTGCAGAGTTTAGGATTTGTGTGCATAGTTCGGGGGTCCTGTTTAATCCCTTCCCCCTGACAATATCCCCCCATCCTCCTAACAACGAATGTTCACTCTAATATATAATGTACTGATTAGGGGTAAGGGTTACAATTCAGTCAGCACTCAGTGGCCCTCACACCTTGGGACGTTTTGGGAGCTACCACGTTGAGGACGCTGAAATGATTGTTTCAAGGGTTACTCCTGTTCCCTTGCTTCAGGCTTGAACGGTAGCCTCGTGACCTGATGCCATGCTAACGGTTGGAAAACAAGAAATGCTGAGTGCAGTGCCATGAGCGTGGTCTTCAGGGAACCGGGGTTTAGAAAGACGTGTCCGCCTGCTGCTAAACTGAAGAATCCAATGCCAGAGATCAGTGTTTCTCCGCTTGGGTCGGCTTTCCTTAAGAATCCCGGTGGCGATCCATTCCTGGGTTATTCGTTGAATGTAAATATGGTTTAGGATTTACGATTGAAGCCTTGGGGTTTAGGATTTGGTTTAGGGCCTACACGGTTTTAATTCTAATCTCCATGAACTCGACCAGGAATGTAAAAAAAAGGCAATCCCCATGTGGAGTCAGTTATTAGGCGGTCTTCACAACGCGTGTGGCAGAAGCTGCGTTACTTGCAGACAAATGTATTCTTGTCCCTTAACCTTAAATCCTGATCCCATGTGCGCAACCTGGAGCGCGGAGGACTCAAACAAAGACCTCAAATTTGGAAAAGCTCCCCTCACATGAGCTACTGCCAATATTAGCCTTACCAATGGACCGGTAGGGGTGGACATAAGGTTGATGTTGGGTAGTTTAACAGAAGAGGAGTGACTTCCAGAGTAAGTTAAGATTAACTTTGGAATTAGTTAATCTTTCCTGGTAAGGGGCTTGGTGGATAGGGAAGTTACTTTGAAGTAAACCTTCTCATGTGGTTTGAAGGTTGTTGAGGGATTGGCTCCGGATTCAATTCGTTCTGAGGTTCCCTGAACCCTCTGCTGGCAGCCATGAGAGGAAAATGAAATCCATGTCCATTAATCACATCTATATGGGAATAAATGACTGTATCTGACATGCGCTCTAAACCCTAAACCCTAAATCCTAAACACACACCTTAAACCTTAAAGGCTTTGCAATGCTTACTTGGGTCAGGCACTCCCGGGGATCGCGGGCTGTCCTTCAAAACGAATCATCCAAAAGGTGGGGTACTTCAACGCAATCCCCCCTTACTGTTGATGGAGGAAATCTTGCACCACCTTAAGTCCCTAAAGTCCTAGGAATTACAGTAGTTTAGGGCCCCTAGGTTGTGCAAGATGATTTCATCCATCAACAGTATCTCGAATTCGGAAGCACCTGGCAGAATGTACAAGTTTGAACAAACACTTGCATCAGATAATATTTTGAGTATCATGCAATTTGCTTATCATTAAGCCTGTACGGAATCTAAAGCCATCCCTATACTTCATGTAAAATTCCTGTAGAACCTTCTTAGGCAGCATATTGCATTCCAGACGTTAAACCTTAGACTGCCCTGAGCAGATTGGCCATCACCATGCTTGCAGCCGTCCATGCACTCGCCGTGGACACCGTCCTTAGCGCTTCAGGATATTTGGTTTTAGGCTGCTACCCTAAACCCTAAACCCCTAAAATCTAAACCCCAAAACCCTAAGCCCCTAAATCCCCAAACCTCTAACCCCTAAACCCTAAGTCGGAGGCTTGGGGTGGTTGGGTGTAAGGGTAGGCGTGAAACAAGGGAGGCATTGCCTTGGTAGGATGCTCTAGGCTTGTCTGTAGCTCACCTTTTTTCGCAGAGAACCACGGGGGGAGGGGGGGGGTTCGAGAAATGAGAGGTTCACTTTGGGGGTTTCCCTAGAACTCTACCATTAGGGTTTAG